TGGAATCTGCGGAGAAGCACGGTTCTTCTCGTAACACGCTAGTAAAATGTAATTAAATCTCATAATAAACAAAATAATTATCTGAAGTAACTAAAGAAACACAATGAATCAGTTTCGCCGTATAAAATATCTTGAATTCTTTCCTGATCATTTGTGTATTTCGATTTCCAGATTCCAGGGAATACGTTCCGATCTCGATTTCCAAATCGCCGTGCTTCTTCGCCGAGCTCACGCCAATCCATTGTTCAGCGCGATCGAATCTTTTTTGTACGAGAAAAGAGAAGGTTAATCTGCATGAGAATGAAAGCTGTAGCGTGAGAGGGAATCAGAAAAAATGTATCGTGTGCGTGCACGGATGAATGACTGACAGAGTGAAAGCAAGAATGAGTGAAGAAGGAGGTGGAGGGGGAGAGAGAGGGGGAGAGAGAGAGAGAGGAAAAGCAGATCAAAAAGGAGAAAGTTGTTCGATCGCTCTTGAAGCGCTCGAAAAAGTGCCTTCAAAAACACGCTCGACGCAGATGGGACCTAAATTAAGGACAGCAAATTGGATCGAGGCTGGGACGCTTCTCTAGTTTGTAAGTTTCTCGTAAGCACTGTACTAAAGTATAATAAATTAATGCTAATTCAATGAAGATATGCTTAATTCAGGATTTCGTAACATTGATTCCATTAAACGATACAAATTTCGTAACGAATTGTAAATAAATGAGATTTTTTCAAAGTGACGGTAAAGTCCGAACATGTAGATCAACAATAACACTGTCCGTTTGTACATTTTTCTTTCCGATTAAATCACGTTTCATACTGCAGGTTTATAATTTAGGTAGAAGTAGTAGGCTCGCTAAGAGTTCATTTGTATAAAATGTATCTTCAACTATTTTTTTAAAACCTCCATTGGGGAGTATTTATGAAATTATTGCTGGATCATGAAATATTCTGTAAAGTTCATATGTTTATCTTATTAAAAGTATACATGTAAAATGTCTAATGATTTCTTCGGAATAATTATCGTTACACATTTTATCGTGCCGACGCGGGGTGAACAAGTAAAAGAATTGTGGTTGTAAATCTTCGAAGTAGGAGCATTGAAACAACTGTCTTCGTTTATTGTATGCGCTGTACTAGATAAACGAAACTTGTCTTCCACGATTTCCTTTTACGATAACGTTTCTACGTCTCTGTATATTTCTGATTGTTTAGAATATGCTCGACGGTACACGTTGTCTCAACGCTCGTAGGACCATGACTTTAAGGTTTCGATAAATGCGGATAAAAATGCAAGTTTTTCCTTAACAGCCTTATATTCCACTTTCGATCGATACATAAATTAAATTACGTGGTTTCCGATAAAGAGCATTGCAGGATATATCCATCCATGGAAAATAATTCATATCCTGCGAAGTGATTCTCAGGGCGGAGATACGTTTGTGAAAGGAGCTGCGACGATCGCTATTGCATATGCGTTTGCAAATCTTGTACGCGTATTACATATATCTATATACATACTCTTTTGCCGAAAAGATTGGCGACGATCGTAATTAATAGTGACTTCTCAAGGTAAGCTACAATAGAAATTTTTGACCACAACTCCTTGTCTAACACATCGATGATGGCTGGGCTGTTCTTGATGGCACGGGTATCGCAAATTCCAATCGGATATAAATTTACAATAAATTTAGATCATTGCGGATGCGCTCGCGCTCGCAAGAGAAATCAGCGATCGTGGCCAAAGATACATTTTGCAATGAAGGATAGCGTTAATATTTTGTAATCACAGATGCATCGTTTAAGAAAGTTTTTTAACAATTGCTATTTGATAATACGACGTTCCGTTTGTATTTATAATACTAATGGATCGTCATCGACGAAGTAAGAAACTTGCAAGCGTTTAAGACAACTTTGATTCTTCGCAGAATACTGAATGGAAAAGAAAATAAAAAAAAAAGAAAATGTATCCCGCAACTCCGAGAGATCGACGCATTGATGTCGTTATTTTATTATTTTTGTGTTTGTTTTTTCTTTTTCTGTTTTGCTACCAATGGTTTGTCGGCCAAAGGTATGAAGCACTCGAGATCAAGAAGACGCAAAGAGGCACGTCGACGGATAAACGTGATAGACGAGAGGAACGCGTTCAGAGCAGGGAGAAGTTTTTACTCTCGGTCTCTTTCCTCGATGTGTCCTCGAAGGAAACGAGCGCAGTTTCACTTCAGACATCGTTCAAAATAAAATGAGCCAATATAGCCACCCCTCATCGCTTTCGCTACATTTTGCTCGAACACTCTCCTGTTGTTTTGCAGAACCTCGGCAGCATCTTTATTTAATGGATCTTCTGGATTAGGTTCCTAAATAAGCAACGATACTCTTAAAATATGCAACTTATTCTCTCGATCGATACGCACTTAATGAAATCTTTTGGTCTAAGAATTGCGTACATGATAATATTCGTTACAAAAATATAAAAGTATACTGTATCAGCTATAACTCGGCTATAACTGTATCCATATCAAATACAAAATTTAACTGTATTTCTTCGATGCATTAATATTTTTTTTAACAACGAACGTATATTCAATCCAGCTAGTACTTTAGACCAAAAGATTTTTCTAATGTATCGCATTAAATACCAAAAAGAGATATTGTAGCCCATAAACAATAGAATTAATAGTGAGGACTGGTTTCCAATCTTCTCTTAATATATTTAGACACACATTGCCGTCTAAATCGATATTGGGATGATAAACTTGTGTTTCACACTTTACTTTTGGTGGTTCGTGTGGATAATTTGGTCCAACTTTGAAACTGAAAACGAATCTGCCACCCCTGTAAAATCCCTGAAAAATTAAAGAATCGTATTTACTTAACCGAACGAATAATTTAGCATTTAAGTCTTACCTCGTCTGGACAAATAATTAGTTTAAAGCTAAGAAGATCGTCAGGGTCAGGAAACTCTGTTCCACATGTTTTTGGCAAGTTCAGTTCGTTTATATCTATGAAAAGAAATCAAGATTTACAATTCAATTTAGGTTTCAAATATAAAATCGAGCATTAATAGCAATGTTTCAAGGTCACCCAAAGGTCAGATCTATATTTCAATAAAACAATACGATCAACAATAAGATTACTTTTAAACAGATTCGAGAACAACTCATTCTAGAGTTTGTATATGGATCTTTATTAGATCTTACGGTTAGATATTTCAAAGGGAGCAATACGATGCATTTTGGAGTTTTAACAATAAAAAGTGGACAAGTGTCACTATAATAAAACTGTTGTTTACTTTGTTGGCTTTATTGTAATTTTTAATTCTGGTGCAAATGAAAAGGGTATCTATTCATGTACTCCAATTGACAGAAATTTAATGAGTTCTAAGAGAAGTCTTAATAGATTTATATTTCGTGGAAGTTTGGATTAATGTAAGAGAACGTTGAAGAAACATAGTGCGATATATTAAACGTATGAATGATATAAATAAAAATGATCAAATAAGAGTTGCTCGAAGTGATTGTTGGTAAGTTTTCAGAGACGTAAAAGCATTAAAAATATTCGGGAAGAAGCTTCCACAAGCGGTAAGTTTGATTGTTCGCATGCTAAAGAAAGTTGATGACCGGTCGAATAAGAGAAAAAATTGGAAGAAAGGTGATAAAAGGTCATCGACGAAACCTTTTGTAATTCTGAGTTGTGCTGCAGATGCCTTCTTTTGGGTACCAGGTTTCGGCGATTCGCCATCCTTTTTCGCCTGTTTTAACGAGAATAATTTAATCATGATAAAGTGACGGTGCCCGGCGTGGAAGGCATAAAAAAGTCTCTTCTTTTTCTGTTGGCCACGCGCGCGGACTATGACACACGCAACAAAACTCTTTTTGACAATGGAAACAACTACCGTGAATTTACGACTGATCTCACGTGGACGTACAACAATCCGTTTCTGTTACTGTCACGGTACTAAAGCTCCTTTTTGCGCATCGTCTGATTAAGCCTGTATTTCATATGCATATGAAACGGTATAAACTCAAGATAACTTTCCAGTAAACTGAGAATTATTTAATTTCTAGAAAAACAGTAATATTTTTCGAACACGTATCTTCTACGTCTGATCCGATATTACAAAGAATAAGTTATTCGTTCGATTTACATGTATTCCAATCTAAATGAATTTGATATTTCAAAACAACCGATTTTAAATGCTATTCAACCGACTTATGGAAATCAGCCGTTACTTTGAAAAAGATTAAGGTAATTACTCATAGGAGATAATGTTGTTCCTTTTTTTATATTAGCACAGATTAATTGTATATTAATTGAAATTTATATTGTATTTGAGTTAGCTTGGATTATTATAAGAATAAAAAACGTGTCATGCGCCTTTTGAATATGATTGGAGAATAGTTGTAATGATTCCAAGTTTCGCCAATCAGAATGTCCCTTATGCTTCTGGAGAACTTTAAGCCAAGGAATGAAAATATCTCTTCTGATATCGGCCGATATACGAACAATTGTTTGATGTCACTAAGGGAAATATATAAACACTATAGATGGTTCAATGTTCGTTTCAAGCTAGCGTGAGGTTTGAGACGTCAATGGCTTGCGTTCGTTGTGCATGTTGCTTGAAACAATTGGTGAAATAACGGAGTAGCTTTCGTGGTTCGCATATTTGCTCAAATTTGACAGTGAACGTGGACACGATGGCTGGAACACGGGATGAGATTTTGGCCGACTTTCAGGTAATCCATTCAAACCTCAATTCTACGTTCATTTTCAAATACAAATAAAGTTTGAGGTTATGATATAAGCAGCAATGACATTGACAATAGATGAAATCTACGAATATCAATGTAACATTTTTCCACTGTTCCGTCCGGAAATTTGTCAGAATTTTTCAGGATACTCTGGAATATTTAAAATAATTCAAACGACATTTTTTCCTTTGTTTTGTTGTGTATATTTTTGAATGTTTCTTCCCATGATCAGTAGCTTCTTTGTCTCTGTACACAACTGTGGTTGAGAGTCATTCGAATTTTCGTTTAAAAAGTTATAACGTATTGTTTGCGTTAAACGAAATGTAAAACAGTTTTATTGTTATCTGTCTTATATTTTTCTTTAAATTTGTTTTCGTTCTACAAGTACATAATATGTTTAAGACAATAAGAATTAATATAGAAGGTTCATTAAGCGATTACATTGCATTTTTTTTAGGCTTGTACAGGAATCGATGATGTTGGAGATGCCATTAAATATTTAGAGGAATCAAGTTGGGATTTATTGGTAAATATAACTGGACATTTATTCTTTAATATTTGCTTATACCATTTAATATGTAAAATAATGTTAATAAGTAATGCGATATTGTGCAACATTATGTAGGCAGCAGTAAATCAAGCCATGCCTAGAGGTACACAACAATTACCCTCCGAAATGAGTCCAGACATAGAAATGATAGAAGAAATTGAAAGGACACCACATTCATCTTCATCATCGTCACAAACCACTAATGATTCAAGAAATAGTTCGAAAATGGATGTTGTAGAAAATTCCAAGCCAGGGACAAGTAAATCTAAAAGTTATGGAAGCGGAAGAACGCTCACATTCTGTGTTAATTATCTTAGTAATGTTTATAAAATAAACTTATCTGAGTCTTCACGTGTGAGTAAGTATTCAGCATACTTTCTTTCTTGTTTTTAGTCAATATTGCTATTATTAATTCTTAATTGAAATGTCTCACGTTTAGGGGATCTCAAACAGCTTATATGGGAACAAACGAATGTACCATCTTGCCAACAACAGCTTCGAGGCTGGAAAAAAACACCAGAATCAGCTTCTACAACGTTACAATCATTAGACTTGCCAAAAGAGAATACTTTGTATATGTCTACTTTATCAGATTTAATGACTGATGAGTAAGTATATTTTCGGATATATGGTCTTAAAGTATTATTAGAAATTCTTATATATTTATTATATTTTTAGCGATAAATTGAAATACGCGGAGCGTATGACTCAAACGTATACCTTGAATATCAAAGATGAAACGCATAAAAAAATGTATAATTTAAAGTTTCATGGAACAAGCACAGTCTTGGATGTAAAGTCTGGTATTTATTCATTAATAGATGTTCCTATTCGAAATCAACAGTGGAAAGGTTGGCCAAGTACAGTGAAGAATGATAGCATAATGCTAGCACAGACTGGAATCTTTTACCCTGAACATGACCTTTCTGTTACTGAGTTACCCTCGAAAGAGGAAAAGAAGGTATGCTCACTACATTACATTTACTTATCAATGCAGATTATGATGTTCATCTTTTCTTTATTT